AAAAACATCAAACCAAATGGGAGAAGCGACGGAGCAAGCACGTGACTTCCACGTGACCACCACGAAGAAGCAAGTCATCACGGCGGCTCTCCCCCTCCAAGACCACTGGCTCCCTCTCTCAAACCTCGACCTCCTCCTCCCTCCGGTCCACGTCAGCGTTTGCTTCTGCTACAAGAAACCACTTAACCTCACTAACTCAGTGGCTAATGAAACCCTAAAGACAGCTTTAGCAGAGACTCTCGTCTCCTACTACGCATTTTCCGGCGAGATTGTCACCAATCCCACCGGAGAACCCGAGATTCTCTGCAACAACCGTGGCGTAGATTTCGTGGAAGCCGGTGCTGACGTGGAGCTTCGAGACCTTAACCTCTATGATCCTGATGAAAGTGTTGCCAAGCTTGTTCCCATCAAGAAACATGGAATCATAGCGATTCAGGTAACTAACTAGTTGATACTTTTCAGCTTAAGACAACAAAGATTTCATTACAACAACCATAACTTTTGTTTGTTTTAATGTCTGAAAAAGGCGACTCAACTGAAATGTGGAAGCATAGTGGTGGGATGCACATTTGATCACCGTATAGCTGATGCGTATTCCATGAACATGTTTCTTGTTTCGTGGGCCGAGATCGCTCGATCCGATGTACCAATCTCTTGTGTACCATCGTTTCGAAGATCTCTACTAAACCCTCGACGACCTTTGATCATGGATTCATCTATAGACAATATGTATGTGCCTGTAACATCCTTGCCCCCTCCGCAAGAAACCACTAATCCAGACAATATCCTCGCAAGCCGTATCTATTACATCAAAGCTGATGCATTAGAAGAGCTCCAAACACTAGCCAGCAGCTCGAAGATTAAGGTTAAAAGGACCAAACTTGAAGCTTTCAGCGCGTTACTATGGAAACTCGTGGCGAAACACGCAGCAAAAGATCCATTCTCGAGCAAGAACTCGAAACTCGGGATCGTCGTGGACGGGAGGAAGAGACTCATGGAGCAAAAGAACAACACTTACTTCGGAAACGTCCTCTCGATCCCATTTGGTGGGCAGAGAATCAATGACTTGATCAACAAGCCACTATCTTGGGTGACAACAGAAGTTCATGGATTCTTGGAGAGTTCAGTGACCAAAGAACATTTCTTGAATTTGATCGATTGGGTTGAGACTCGCCGTCCAACACCTGCGGTTTCAAGAATCTACAGCACCGGATCCGACGACGGACCAGCCTTTGTGGTTTCCTCCGGGAGAAGTTTTCCGGTGACCCGAGTGGATTTCGGGTGGGGCTCGCCGGTTTTCGGATCTTACCATTTCCCATGGGGAGGTAGCGCCGGATATGTGATGCCGATGCCGAGCTCGGTGGACGATGGAGACTGGATGGTTTACTTGCACCTTACGAGAGGACAGTTGAAGTTTATTGAGGAAGAGGCTTCTCATGTGCTTAAACCTATTGACAATGATTATCTCAAGATTTGAAAAATCCTTATATCTGTTATGTAATTAATTATGGGTAATTCGTGTGTTTAATTTCTCCATTAGGGTGTTTTTTCCATGTCATGTGATATTATGTTTGCCTTGAGTCTTTGTATTGGAGTTATTGTATATACATGTATTGTAAGGTGTTGCAACCGTACAATGTTACTCTTGATGTGTCTTTCTTAGGTTTCTTTAATGTTGCTCAATCTAATGTGTACATAAGTTTACTCGATTGTCTTCTTTTTTTCCCCCTTTTTGTGTCAACTACACTACATGCACTCAATTCAATCGGATTTAAATTTGGATAAAGACACGACAACAACATTTGTACAAACGATTAGTCTATATATTATAATCACTCGTCATTTTTATATACATTATGAAGAAAGAAATTGTATAGATGCAAACCAAAATGGTATATTCATTTGATATTGATTTTTGGCGAAAATAAAATAATTATACCAAATTCACTCGTGATCATATCCATACGGACTTGGTTTTGGTAAGAGATGGGCATTACTATACGTAAATTCGGGTGCATTTTTCCCGTTGAGTCAAATTTCTTGTAGTTCCTCTAATTCAATATATGAAAATCACATTCTCACCCTATGATGCTATCATCATACAGTATATACCTCAACTTACACGTATTTGGTGTCATTAGAATGATTCCGTGGACTACTGAAAAGTCTAAAATTCGTCTAACCGCCAACGCCAACAACCTCTTATAGCTAAATGTTCAATGATATATTGCCTATGAGAATTTTATCACAACATTTTTAAAATTAATATTGTCATCCAATAAGGTTGTTCGTGATGTAAGTTGATATGTAGTGTTGACTCTATAGATGTTACTAGCTAACTAGCTAGAGCTTGGTTCTTGTGCATGTGGTTGTACCATTTTATGGTTTAGTCAAGACTACTCTGACTGTAATTGCCTAATTGGTAACACTAATAGCTATTTATAGTTTTAATTATTCATTAACTGGTTGTTCATCTTCCTAGTGGTTGTATTTTACTAAAAACTAAGCATTAGGCAGATTTAACTATACAAAACCTAGACCTACCTCTACTAATGTAAGTAAATTATATTTCTTAATTAAAAAACATTAAATTAAATGAATG